CTGCGTTTATCAGAAACAAAGATTTAAGAATATGTCCTGTCTTCCACTTAAGTCTTTACTTATTTGCACGGTAAGCCGTATTTAAACCCAAGTCCTCGATATATACTAAATTCTAGCTTTTATTGTGGCTCTTCACCCGCAGGATTTCCAGATATGTCAGCAAGAGCTAAATGGTACGATTTACCACTATTATGTGATGGTAAATTACGAACAAAACCGATTTCATACGATACTCAACGAAGAGCAGTTAGTGATGCGCTACACGCCGCCAACGTTCACACATATCAAAAAACACATATAAATAGACGTTTTGGTGCTCGTTTAGCCGAACAAGGGGGTGCAACATCAGAGGAAATTGCACGAGCCGGACATTGGGCACATTCGGTTCTAGAAAATCACTATTTAACGCATATTCCTCGTCGACCGGTGCGAGCTCTTGCTGGTTTTTCTATTGAGGGCAATAGTTTCTTTCTTTCGAGAGATATTTCGCCTCCTGCAACCCTTCTACGCAAAGTTTTTCCTGAAATTGAGAAATGGTGAGCTTAAATCGCGATTTGATTCCCACTCTTGCTAGTTTGTGCTAAAATTTGCTAAAATTTGCTATTTTGTGCTCTTGCTGACTCTCAAAGGATAGGAATTCTCGATTCTAGCGTACGTCCGGAAGAAGAGCTTACTAGTCGAATGTTTCTTCAAACAATGGGTCATCTCCGTGAATCATTTCTACAAGATATCGTACACGTTCGCAAATGGTTTCCATCGCTTTACATTTTCAATCATCCCCTTTTCAAAGACGAAGAGTTCTTATCCTTTGAGGAACAAGCGATTACTAGAACGATTGCCAATGAAAACAAATATGATGATCGTATTGCTCAAGCTCTGCCAATTTTACATGACATTCTACAAACTCAAGCTCAAGCACAACAACAAACGTCACATGATATGGTTTCACGCATTGAAGAAGTAAATAAAAGCCAAAGACAAAATAACGAGCAAATTCAGGCGGTCTTGAATGGAATTGCATTAATACAAAACGGTCTTAGCAGTCCACTCCTCTTTCCGCCTATATTACAGTCTATCTTACGTGAAAACCAGTCTTCGAACTCCGGATTGGCAAATACAAACGAAGCAAGCACTTCATTGACGACTTTGCCAAATGAACAGCTTACAACTTCTACTACAAACTCGTTCTTGGCAACTACATCTTCATCTTCCCACAATATAAACGTTCAAACCTCTATCCAAACCAGTCTGCTATTACCATTTACTATGAGTAGATCAGTTCAAACGGTTCAGGAACTATGGCAAGAGTATCTCTTTGGCATTAATGGTCGCCCATCAATCAAAAGTCAGTACGAAGATAACCCTAATGGACTGAAGAATGCAAGCGAGACCGAAAAACGTTTTTATAGGAGACGTATCAGCATTATTCGAGCAGTTCGACGTTTAGGTGAGACAAGAGCAATAGAAGATGTTGAAGCAGCGAAGATTTGGGATAAACATAGACATACTTTACCAAATCCATCTTTAGACGCCTTACAACATTGGTTGAGTAAAGCATCTGCCGAAGAACTCATATCTGTTTAGTATTGTACAGTAATGTATCTTCTAGTGTAGCATTACCTTTGCATAAATTTTATTCTGCAATTTCCTGCTAATTTTTGCTCATTCTTGCTACTTTCTGCCAATTATTGCTCGTGAGTGCTAACTGTGGTTAAAATTTCTTTACTCGTAGCCAAGGGCGTTGTAGAACAGTCAAAGGAGTATGAAACCTCACAACGGACATATAACCTGCAGGAATTAGGACCACGTCGTTGTTCAGAGAACGTCCCTGCAGGAATCAACAATTTGATCCGTTTTACGGTTTCATGTATTTAAGACGTGCTAAAGACGATAGACTTGAGACAGTGTAAATCAGGGTCTGTAAATCAACGTAATTTACGTCCTCAAACCATTAAAACGAGGGTATGCATGTCGTTGTCAAGGGTAAGTATCCTTTGGTTGTCAAGGAGAGCGAAATGGTCAATTTGCTGGTTGTCACATATACCAGGTCGTTGTCATGAGTTCTTCCCCACCTCTTTTCAAATTTTAACGTCTTACATTACTTTACCACACTGACATTTGAATTTTAAGCTTCTTGAAAAGATATCATGTCGAATCCACCTACTCCTCCTGCTACTTTGAAACAACTTGTTACGTCTAAGCCCGATTCACGTTAGTTGCTGCTTTTTCAACATTAAGAGGTTTATTAATTCTAATAATTAGCGGAGTGGAGCGCCAAATTCGATTGGGATGGTATTGTTGCTTATCCTCTACGGAAATGGTCTGATACTGGTCGTAATGAGGTTCTTCGGGTTGCAACTGGAGATAAAGGTCCTAAGATTGGAATTTCTCCTAATGAATCGTCAAAAGTTAGTGTTTTCGAGTCAATTTTCGTCAAAGTTGTGTTTATCTGACTCAATTAGTATAAAAATTACCGGGAGGCATATAATCACGCTGTATCGCCTAATTCTCATGTCAGAATGGGAACATTTAGCTGTCAGTTGTGTCAAGCTCGTCAAAATCGCGAGGAGTTGTGTTCTTTTGGCTGTGTAACCGTCGGTGAGCTCCCTACAGGAGCATGTACCGAATGTATCGCGAGGGGTACGACAGCTCGCTGTACTTTTGTCGAAAAGGCGGAATACATCTTGGATCAGGCGAGTTTTGCGGGAAATATGCGAGAAGAGCTGGGCAAATTGAAAGCTATCGAGATCCAGGCTGAATTAGCGAGTTAGTACTTTTCGTTCTTAAATATAACTGCAAAGCTAATTTTCTAGCAACACATAAGTATGAATTGGAACCGAAAACTATCTTATATCAATGTCAGCATGTCAGATCAAACATTGAGCGATTGATGGCGATTCATTTGCCTGATATGGCTCCCGAAGGTGTTGTTGCCCCCGATACTCCCCGTAAGCGTCGTCGTGCCCCTGTCGCAGCAACCCCTCCCTCCGAAGACACATAAGTTGTTGTATATCTCTATATGTATGCATCAATTACTCTTGAGCTCTCATCAACACGAACATTAGCAAAAATGAGCACAAATTAGCAAGAATTAGCAGCAGTTAGCAAGTTAAGACAGAGAAGAGTGAACGAGATGAATTGTTGGAACGCGTTCAGGTGGCAGCATGAGTCACAATTTCGTACATTCGGTTATCGACATGATACCCGGACCGGCCCTAGGACCCCCGTCCGGACTGACTCAGGGTCCATGTCGTATAACAAGTCATTATGAGGAGAGTAGAAATGGGAACTTGCCTTTGTTATATTATACACAGAGGTATGTGGTCTTCCGACTGTTAATCTGTTAACGCTTATAATTAGATGATAATACAGAGGGGAAAAAGAGCATGCATCAATTCTACATGTCTCTATACTTATCACATTCCACTCACACGCATAAAACCAGAGACGATCGAATAAAGTTCAGAGGATAAGTTGAACGGAGAAATATTCGACGGAAGGGGTAATTCTAACGGCGGTTCGGCCGTCCCGGCCCGATTCTATCGGCTAACATGATTGACCGAGCTTGTAGTGAAACGTATATAACACCTGATGAGGAATATCCCATCATGCAGACGAGAGAATCTTTACATCCCTCTCCATTGCGGGCATGACCAATAGAGATTCTGTGTAAGGCTCCTGCGCATCCAACCTAGTCGTCAATGTCGTTCGCTCCCCCAAAGGCTGGTCCGTGATCGTTTCCCACTGTTTGGGCCAGTGTTTCAGGCATATATGAAACATGTCATCTACCAAAGATTGGCCATCCGGTCCCTCCACAAACGAACGATAAGCCTCCCCTTTTTCATCCGCACATGCATATACCTGACAACTCCCTTTTTGACTATAGCGCCTCATACCTCGTCCCCTTGGTTCATGGAACTTTTCCCAGAACCTCTCAGTGCAGCGTGACCGAGGGGTGTGTATGGATCCTGTTCGATCCCATCTGCGACCTTGCTCACTTACAGCATGTAGATTGCATCTGTATGTAATGGCATAGACTTCCCTGTGATCATTGTCCTCACCCATGGTGTAGTGATCTTGGAAAAAAAGCTGTCCCAGTCTTGTACAGAGGTCGCATCGGCGAAATAACCCGACTCGGACGTATCCGGGCCAATCAGGGCCCCACCGATAAAACGAGCTCATGTCCAACAAGGACTGGGCTACTGCATCAAGTTGGAGGCCTACATCATTGGGGCCGTCTTGTGTCCCTTCTGCAGTTGTTTCAGGATAAACGGAGGTAGGAAATGAGGAACACCGAGTGGCGGTCTCTTCCGGCCATCCACTCGTGGGAGTGAGTTTGAGAGTTGGCGGGGCCGACATAGGTCTTAAAAGGTTGTCATCATCGGTCGTGTGGTTCGAGGTGATGAACTTAGCGAGAGCAGAACAGGGGCGTGAGCTGGGAGGATTATCTACCCATTCGTGTCTATATGTTCTGTGGACGGGTCTCGGCCTCAATGTAAGCGATCTGGGAGCGATATACTGTAGCTCATAACTTAGAGAAAGATACTCACAGAAGGCTTTGCAAGTCGAATTCGGACACATCAGAATTGGTCATTCTTGAGGATGTCTTGAGTATATAACTAATCAGGTCTTTCTACAATGTCTGACGGAGGGATGATGGATGATTTTGATGAAAATCGTGAGTTGAGGGTCCAATTGGGGTGGAGTTCGTTGGGTGATGATGATACCCGGTGGCGAAAGTTCTCATCAGCGTACTGGATGAGCAGAGGTTTTATCCTTTCTTCTAGTGATCGAAGGGCCAACGGCCAAACGGGGTTGTTAATACTCCGCTACACCCGAAACATTAGTGAGATCAGCACCCATAACTGACACATACACAAACTCGCCATGCAGACAGATCCGGGTTTAACCCCCTCTTCCCCTGAAACCTCCCCGACCTCTAGGAGGTCCACCTCTTGAACCGCCGAAACCTCTCGAAGCGAAACCTCCTCTTCCTGGAGGACCACCTCGTGAGAAACCACGACCTCCACCTCTACCTGGTGGTCCTCCTCGACCTCGCATACCCCCTCTTCCCCCTCGAGCACCACCACGTTCTGTCGTTAGCATAATCCTCGTGCGGGTGACACGATGATGACGGCTCACTTTCAGCTATACGTCAGCGACATCCCAAATACTTGAACACGTCAGAGTAAGAGTTCTCTCTGGGGTTGATCATCTCATACATGAAGTTCGTGACCCACACGAGAACTGAAATAGGTTCCCCCGTACATCCCGACGAATCCTCAAGTTGAAGGGGACGTATACGCTTGCCAGCAATGATATTATAAATAGAAAGGAGGCACTATAGCATTGTCTAATGAAAATAAGGGGTGAAGGAATGTGGGAAGGCTTGATTGGAAATCCAACTCACGTTTAGCTCCCGGGATAGTGGGTTTAGGTAAAAACCTTTCTATCGGTAACAATTTATCTCCTCCAATGAAAACCTTATCATCTTTCTTAAAACTAGCAGCTTGCATCCCAGAATCCATCTTCACCGTAAAGTAAACCTCGTTGATAGGTCCGAGGATCTCGTCAACCTTTCCAATTTGAGTTTTGTTGGCGAGATAAATGGGTGCGTTGAAATAAGGGATTTTAGTAGGTGCGGATAAAGTACAAAGCATTTCTGATTCGACGGGATGTAAGAAAGCTCCGATTTCTATCAATAATAAAAGATCGTATCAGTGTTGTGTCTTCTATGAGAGGGCTATTGGGACTCACCTTGTACTTCAGAAGGTGGTCCGAAATCTCTTGGTTGGTATCCTCCTCTACCACCACCTCTACCTGATCCACCTGTACATTAGTCAACACACATGGAGACAAGAATAGATTTACCTCGGAAACCACCACTACCACCACGTCCACGATCATATCCTCCGCCACCTCTTGAAAAACCTCTGCTCATCTTTGAATTATCAGGTTTATGGTGAATTTAAAAATTGGACGAACGTAAGAAGAGTGGGAGAAGGAGAGATTGGAAAATTCCGCCTCGACGGAAATATCGTCGGCGTTTGAGCTCGATCATGTGGGGCTCCATCCTCGCTTCCATCCATCAAGTCACCGCCCACTACCACTATATTCAACATCCCTCACCAAGTGATCCTGACAAAGTGGAAAAGTCGAAACGAAAAATCCCAGCCTTACGACCGACTTCGAACCCCCAGCATGCTACCTCAGTCCAGAACACGATCCCTATCCCTCGCTCGATCCCCTACCGTCCTAACTTCCCCCAACATCTACTCCGCCCACTCTTCTCAAGCATACGAGACATATGAACTTTCCCGTAGATTGAGTGACGTAGAAGAGGACGGAGAAAAAGTCGTTTCTCCTCTTTTGAACGTTCCTCTAGGTATGGAGGAAGAAGGAATGACTCGAAGGGTTCCGGAGATAAGGATGGAGATACAGGATGAACAAGTCTTCGAAAGGCCTGATGCTGTTGAGATGTTAGGTATTGGGTTGAGTACTGGAATGGTTGCGATATTGGCCGTGATGGCGTTTATGACTACTATTTATAACTGGGTTTTGTGAGGTACTGGCTCGATTATGAGTGTGCATAAACTGAACGAACCGAGCGAATTGCGCGAAGTGGGAAGGATGAGATGGATGACATGATTCAGCAAGTGACTGGTGAGAATATCATCAAAAGGTATGTCATCTATACGACAAGTATGCTGCATATGCTAATTGTAGATCACGACATTGACACCTCGTTAAACAATAAATACACGTTCGTCCAAGCGCGTTTACTAGTAGCAATGGGAGCACAACATACCTGAGATCGTTTTACTGGGTCAGGACAAAGATATGGACGGTCGAAAGAGAAAAAAAATGAGGAGGCGAGGAGGCAAGGAAGGAAGGAAATTCAACATGAAGATGCAGACCAAGTGGGTCGTGGGGAGAAACGAAGGAAGATCAAGAAGGAAACGTCAGAATGTGCCCTGTGGAAGTAGATGAGAAGGAAAACACCTTTCAACCCAATCTCGACGTCCCTTCTTTCTCAACAACCACATCTGTACCCCTCGGGCGACTATCTTTATCACCTGACGATCTCACCGAGGCTGAGATCTTGTCCGCGACCAATTTACCCGTCCTGGCGATTTTCAATTGAAAGATGCCTTTGTGCTACTTGTCAGCGTTGACTCGATTGGAGTGCATATTGTAATAAAATTCACACACGATCTGTCTCTATCAAGAGAGAGCAGGGTTTGAACGAGGATGAAAGGCGGTGTCAAATGATTGTAAATGATCATGGAACGAGAAGAAAGCGACAAAGAGACGAGAAAGCCAGGAAAAGAGGCCGGAAACGGGTAAGAAAGGGCGAGGATGAGTAGTATAACGAAATGAAAAGGTGACGAAATAGAATGAATAATCACATACCTTCTTGTGTAAAGCTTGATTATGTGAACCCATTTCTTCATCATCTCTCAGATCTATTGTATTGGCTTCTGACGATCCATCTTCTTCTTCATCTTCCTCATCATCTTCCCCTTCTACATCATAATCACATTCATTATCCTCCTCTCTAGCTGCTTCCCAAGCTTCATAAGCTTTCATAAACCTCAAATCCTTCTTACAAAATCTCTTGTGTATTTTACTAATTCCTGGGATAATCTTAAAACTTATCGTCACCCAACCGATTTGTTCTAAATCTTCATTTCCCTCCCTTGATATTTGTCTATCTTTCTGTTGAGGTGAGGTACTACCAACCTGACCTTTAACATATCCAGCAGCTGCGTCGGTTGAAGTTGAGATTTCATCAGAAAGAGAAGTAGTTCCTTCGCTGGAATTTCCTTTTGAAGTTGGGAGTTGAGATTTGGGAGTGAAGGAAAAAGAAGAAGATAGATGAGCTTTAGTGGATTTGACAGCTAATTCCACATTTGTCGTTTTATATATCGGAATTGTACGAATGATATCTTCATCATCAACCATATCGTACAATGGTAAAATGGCAATTGCCACCGTCTTACTTTTCTTCAACATCTGAGATTTCGTCTTGAATGTCAATACTAAAGAACAAGTATGACGATACCGAATTGCCATTTTATTCGAATTGAAATCCCATTGTGAAACCGTATCTTCTTCCACAATTGCTCCATCATGGCGACTCGAGCTCCTCTCATTCTTTCCCATATTGAATTGCGACAAAGAAGTTTCGGATGAATTGACGGGACGTAATTCGTCTATTGATCTGAAAGATTGGATACTGCCGATGGAATGTTTCGAACTGTGTGTTTTTTCCAACGAACTTTTCGTATGGAATGTCTTCTCAACGGAAGTTTTGGGACTGTTCATGTTCAAAGAGAATCTAGAAGAAGCAGAAGATCTTTTATCTCCCGAAGAGGTTAAAGATAATCGATCTGAATCGGTTTCTAATACCAACCCTAATGCTTTTTCTGATAAAAAGGACAATTCGGTGGAAGATAAAGAAAGAAGATGTAAGGTGGAAATGTCGTATCCTGTCATTGTTGGAGGTAAATTGATTTCGACAGGTTTCCATAGGAGAGAAATACGAAGAAGACCCCAACCTAATCCTCCGATTAATGGATACCAGCGAGTTATTTGAGATCGTTCCGAAAGAGCTTTAGGTAGAGGGAGGGAGACAAGACCTATTATCGGGTCTGAAAATGAGTTTCCCCCCCATGTCATCATCCTACGGCACACAATGACCAGCTGTCCTCCTTCATTTTTGCTCTCGTTCCATCCATAAAAGCCTCATCGAGGAATAAGTCAAAAAAGGTGATGTCGAAGATGAATGGTTTCGCTAATAAGTAGGGGATTTCCATTGCCATGTTAACGGAGACTGTAGAGCTGGGATAAGGGAAGAAGGGAGTGAAAAGCAAGAATAGTTAACTCACCATGCTCTCTATCCCTGGAATCTCTCACTACAAACTTGATTCTCGAACTGGTCCAATTCCTAACAAACCTCTCACTCACAGCGTTATAATAAGGTTCCGGAGTCACTTCCTTCGTTCTTGTCCTATAAACCACTTGATCATTTAGATGGACTTCAACATAAGCAGAAGGGGGATCAGGGTTTTCTTCAGATGTTCTATTCACAACATCTTCCAAAGCTGATCTTCCACCAGCAGCTGATAATCTAGGTGATAAAGCTTGTGAATAAGTCCCATCTAATGATTCTACCTCTAAGTCACTAGCTTGATGAATATGAAATTGTAATATACCAGAACGATATTTTTCATTAGGTTTCAAAACAACTTCTGCTTCTTCTCTCTCTTTTGCACCTGAGAACCATTCCATTACTTCTTTTCTCCTCTCTTTTCTTTCTTTCTCCCATTCTGGAACTTCTCCAGCTAACTTCTCTAACAAAGTGATCCACCATGGTTTTGTGACGTCTTTAGGTTCTCCTTTCGATTTTGGATGAGCTTGTTTCAATCGTTCTTCTAATTCTTCAGGAGAGATTTGCCATAAAGGACAAAATCTGATACTCCATTCTAAACTTCCTTGAACTTTCATTCCTGGGTTATCAGCTCGTAATGGGTCAAGCCTTCGTTTAAGAGGACCATTATAGTTTTCCACCAAATCGGTAAGATCGACAGTGACCACACCTAAAGAGTCGTCAGAGGAAAGACGATCAGAATCGCACACACTCAAACGGAGTCCTTCTCCTGATCGAACAGCTTCAGCTGGGACAAGAATATTCGCGGTTTCATCCCATTGAGGAAGAAGAGTGTTGGTTATTGTCCTTGTGGCGTAAAGAGGTTTGTGGAATTTGGTCATTCCCACACTGACGTATGGATCGCATGTACCCAAAGTATCGGTTTTTGGTAGGTCTTTGGCTCCGTGAATGATGAGTTGTAGTACTCCGACGGACATGAGTCTGTAGCTTGCTTCTCTGCCTAGAAGCAATCTATCCACATCGAGGGTATATGATCGAGGAGCCACAAAACTCTGAGCGACTTCGACGATGGATTTCATTACATATGGTTTGACAAGAGGGAGGTTGAAGGCGTTGAAAGCACTCCGGACGAGAGGTTTGGCCGAAATGTCAAAGTCTGGGAGTTTGGGGAAGAAGAATGTGCCAGTACGCACGAAGGGAGGGGTGGCGGATAGAAGAAGACGAAGATTGATCGTGCCTTTTAGAGAAAGAATGTCTATGTATACCGGTGCTTCCGTTTGTTTCAGGCCGGCAATGCCGATTCCAAAGTAAGCCAAGACGTGAAGACCCATCCCTTTGCGGGGGACAGCGGTTGACGGAAAAGGGGCAGAGTGAGAGTATGTGAATGAGACTTGGTAGTTGACATATTGACCTGTAGCATCATCATCGAGAGGCTCGAAATTGGGTCCGCCGGAAGAAGTGGGAAGTCCAGAAAAGATTGACTTCTGTTGAGACTCGGAGGAACGACGACCTCGCAAGGCATTTGCTAGACGGTGTACCTTGCTTATCGGGGGAGACGGTTCAACATGATGAGGGTCGGACTCTTTACTGAAAGCTTCCACATTGTCGCGACCTGACAGACGACGAAGGAGGCTGTCGCGTTTACGTCGAGATCGCATTTCTCCAGCCAACGTTTCGCCTTCTAACATGGAACTAGAGCTTCGACTGGCCGATGAACCGGAGCGAGGTCGTGAGCGTGGAGAGGCCTTTTCGATGAGTGAAGACGGTGTCAAACTGGATAGAGATGATCTGCCCTTTTTGTGACCTCTCAGTGGCAGGTCAGGCTGAGACGTCGGATGCTCACTGAGCGCTGCGAACCATTCTTCGTCGCTGAGGGCTTTGAGCGATGTGAGTTGGAGAGGTTGGCGGCCTAAGGAAGGAGACGCTAGTCTGACTGATGTCTGCTCATCAACCACCTGTCCTGGAAATGTCACAGGCAGGCTCAGTATTCACGGATGAGGTAGCTGCTTGTAGAATGGTCCCATCAAAGGACTGAGAGGAAGTTGAACTCACAACGACAGGTGGAACCTGCTCCATCAATGCGTCCTCCAGGAGATCGATGAAGGGTGTCAGGACCTCGGTGGAGATAAGAGGGAAGAGTACATGAAGAGTGTGATTTCTGACAAGTCAGCCATCGTCCCCCTGTATCCCTGTGATGGTTGGATAAGGCTGATCATGTACAAGAGGTATAGAAGGACACTCACATCCAATCTACCGAGGAATTTCCCTCGTCTTTTTCTTGGGACTTCTGAGGTGCCTCTTTTTGACCGTCCGCATTCGACCCGTAGAAGGTCCATACACTGAAGCCTAGTGCTATGGCGATGAGCAGACAACTCCGGGTATAGGCTGCAATTCCGAGGAAAGCTACTGGCACCCAACTTGGCACAGGAGGGATAGAATCACCCATAGACACCATTCTGGTGCTCTTATTCGCTTCGCTCATCTCAGGAAGACTGACCACAGGCTTCATATCATGTCCAGCACCTCCATCAGCGGCGACGTCAAGTTGAGCGCTGGGAATAACTTTGTTCGCAGTTGGTGATGCTGGCGATCGGGAACTGGGCGGGGTGGCAGGGATGACCGATACCGACACGTTTGTTTTGGGTGCATCTTCGAGTGCAGTTTGGACGACAGAGATAGGTGCTGGCTTGGAACGTGGTGGGAGAGGAGGGGGTGATGGCTTCGAGGCGGCATCGACCGGCTGTGGCGAGAGGTTGACCGCAGCAGCTTGAACTGGTGGTGATGGAGGAGGGACGGTAGGGGATTGCGACACTTTGCGAGGGGGTAGTGGAGGTGGTCGTCCTTGGGTGGGATCGATAGGTCGTATAGTTCCATCGTGCTCATCGTCCATGATGATGTGGAATGTGGAAAGAAGGGTGACTCGGTGGTCATGGGGACACTCTACCTCAAAGGACGGCCTCGGGGGTTATTGCGATTTTCTTCGGGGCCAGGGGGTGATACATGTGGATTTGTTGTTGCATGCTGCATGCAGAGCACGCTCATGACGATTAGCATCTGTGAGCTAGCTGAGGGAGCATCATGACGATGAGCGTAAGAAGTGGGGAAGAGGAAGAGATGTTCGAGAAAGACAAAATGACGTCATGCAAGTGGAAAAGCTGCCAACTCGTCACCAACAATGACCACACTGAATTCCGACTGCTACAATTCTGACAACTGCTATAGTGATCTGCTCCCCTTTCCGGCCTCGTGTCGCCACGCTGTATACTCCACTCAGCGTCATGGTATCAGCTGCGAGAGTGGAGATACAGTGAGAGGATCAAAGTTGGCTGATGACTGATGGCTGAACGCACTGATCCCCTCCCTCCTCAACTTTTGCCGCCCTACACACTCACTCCCTTTGTTCTCCTTCAAACTACTCTATCCATCCGAGTACACATATCTCTTATACAGGTGCTGCTACACTACTGATCTAGCTATCTCGTCATCTCTCTCCCATAGCCTCACCCCCACACCTCATAAACATGCCTCCAGACTCATCCCAGTCATCCCCGGAATCCAAATCAAAGACCGAAAAGAAGCAAAGGAAATCTTGGTTCTCCCTATCTCGCAATTCCAAAGAACATGTTCGCTCTCGTTCTCCACCCAAATCTTCTCCGACCGCACCTCCTTCTCAACCTCAGGAGCGCTTCCGACCCATCTCATGGAAACCTAACAGGATCGAAACCCTCTATGTATCTCCATCCGAACGAAATCTCTATCTCGCAGCCATGTCTCAGCTCGACCAAGCGCCCCCTCCTCTCCCCTTATGGTCCGACCCAGCACCTTCTCTCCCACAAGTCGTCCCTCAAACCTTCGACCTCATTCCTAACTCCCTCGCCCAACAAGCAATGAAAACTTCAGACATTCATCCCCTCACCACCAGACCGATGTCACCCAAACTGGTAACTTCTCCTGAAATGTCACTCAACAGTCCAGGTCTCATGGTGAGGGACGAGTTCAGACGACTCCCACCTCCACGTACGAGGCAACACGCTTTGTTGGCTCTCCAGTTACCAAACGGCCTCAAGTTCACCGGGTTCGGGGTCACGACGCTTATCGCGGTAGATGAGGTTTTAAAAGAAGGTTGGGGTTTAGGGGTGGGAAAGCGAAGCGAAACAGTGGAGAATTTGGCCCAAAGGGGGGAGAATGAAGGACACGTGGCCAGCTGGCGAGTCAGCTTGAGAGGTCAGGTGTGGAAAAGAAAGGGGTCCGAGGAGCTAGAGTGAGTCGTTGATCCCCATTTGAGCACATGGTTGGCTAATAATAAGTTCCATTAGACTGGTACTGGCCATTTTGACCGTGCTCGGTGTTCACGGTTGGGTACTTGTGGGAAATCTTCAGGCGGCTTCCACCAAAGTGAGGGTCGTTCCTCCTTATCCCCAAGGCTTCCGCTGACCACCTACAGAAAGACGCACATAACCTTCTCTTTGCTTACTCCCCCGAGCACCTGATAGCGCCCCCAACATTCTTTGCTATCTCATTTCCCCGTGAGTATTATCACTGTAGGCTTCAGTCATGCTACTCAGCTGAAATTCAGTCCCCGATAGAGTGTCCATCATCTCTCCTCCACCTAAATCAACTCCTGCACTCATTTCCGCTGTTCGTAACTCCATCGTTCAATCACCACACTCTCGGAGCGGAACAGCTGGCACTACATCGAGCGACATGACCGCCGGTGTGGCTTCCACCGCCCCATCTTCGGCTATTAGATCTCGCCATGGGTCAAAACTCAAAGGCATCAAACTGGAAGGCTGGGTACATGAAGGCGTGTATCGATTTTGGATAGATGGAATGAGGAGGTGGCTGGGAAATGGTGTCAAACGGAAGGTTTTTGACAGGTTAGTTTATGTTGTTCCTCTTTCCTTGCCGTCCTATCACGGTCAACATTCGATATCGGTGTTCTGAATTTCAAGAATTTTGCTGACCTGTCACAGCCTGCAGCCGCAGCTCTTGACCAAAATCGTTTCCGCTCTTGCTGCCAATCACTATGTCTTGGCCGGCTCCATCCCTCTATACCCCCTCTCCAAAGGTCGTGACGTCCTCTTTTTCTCCTCCCTCCCAGGATCCGGTCTCACCTTCCGCGACACATTCCGATTCAAAGCTCTAGACTCCTCGCCTCTGTCCTCTACTCCAGGTACACCCGTGTTCGTATCGCCACACCAGACCCCTCCTCAATCAGTCGTCAACCCTCGTAACGTTGACGCGGAAAATCGCAAACTGCCCTGGCAGTCCATCATCACGTCCCCAAGAGAAGGCGGATCACCTCACGGATCAGGACAGATCACTCCGCCGAAGCCCATCTCTCCTCTCACTCCCGATCAGGCCCTAGCAGAAGATGCTAGACGTAGGACAGAGAGTGCTGGTTCCGCCCGACCTCTCATTCCCAACGCGGCGCAGGGTGATACCCGACGCCGGGGAATACTTTTGAAGAAAAATTCTCGTAATCGGAACCGAACTGCGTCGGGGAATGAATCCAAAGTGTCTTCTCGTCAGCCTTCCGACTCCCAGCCGATCCATGTGGGAGATGATCGAGCCGTAGAGGATGAAAGATGGAGTATGGTGGATCCTCCTGTTCTTGTCGCGCCCGACAACGGAGATGCTCAACCTCGTAGGAGCACGGGTCCAAGCATGGAACAAGGTCGTCTTTCGCCTTCGAAAGGTACTACTGACTCTGGCGAGTCGGTATATCTCGATGCGGACAACCAGCGAGTCTCGGAGGATCAAGAGCCAGAGAGAATCTCCGAATTAGCACTTGCTGATCGACTGCAACTTGGTAAACCCATCAGACCTGAATCGTCACAAGAATTACCTGCCTTGTCGCCGAAATCTGCCAATAGGGCAAGACATGCTATCGTGGATACGAACGGACCGGGAGTACAGAGCGTGATGGGAAGTATTGGTGTCACTTCTACTCTTCTTGGATATGGGGGACCAACACCAGGTGAACAAGGACGTATGTCTCAACACCACGTCGATGAACACGGGGTGAAAAGAGATGTGATAAATGGGGAAGTTTCTCCGCCTATGGAGGGAGAAGAAGTGAGAGGAAAGGAGAAAGAAGTAATGAGAAAAGTATGGGATGATTCAATGGACATGTGGGTCAATGTCCCAGAAGACGATCCTAGGGTACAGGAATTCAGGGTAGGAAGTTTGAGAAGTGAGAAAACCGGGAGTGGTATCGGGAATGGAACGTTAGGACATGGAAGTGCTAGGACGAAAGTGATTATCAATTAATAAGATGACTACGATACTATGACGAACCATAATCCCTTGATGAATAACGAATGAGTCAAATTCAAACTCAAATAGCGGTGAAAATCGGGAATATGACGACATGAGTACAGGTTGTCAAGGAAACGGTTTCTTCGTTATCTCCTTTCTCCGATTAAGAAGTCCGACGCCTTCCAAATTTGGTATGAATTTATTCAAAAACCTAACATTGACTGATTCCAACAATACTAATAAACCACTTTCTCCACTAATCCAAATATCACAGATTATGCCGAAGTCTCGCCTGGAGCCCAGCTCGCATTCGTCCGGACGATCTTCAGGACCAAAGAGAGGGTAAGTCACCCGTTCTTCCACGATTTGCCACCCATTTTCTGTCGTCGAGGATGGAATGCTGAGTCATAGTAACCCTGATACTGATCACAAGAGGTCAAAAGATGGACCAAGGGATGCATCTCCTCCCATATCTTTTCTGTCCCGCCCAAAGAGCGCATCTTCCACTTTCTATGACGGATCATCTTCCTTAGCAGAGGACCTGTCGAATTTGCGGTCTCGTAGAGGACTTCACACGTATACTGACCCACCAGGTCGTTCATTAGATCATTTACTCATTGCGGCTGCTTCAGATGGAAAGCATCAATTTCCAGACACAATTGACCCACTTCAGGCCCCACCCAAAGTTTCCTCTGGACATACATTCAATTCACCAACAAATCCAGCATCCTCGGCAACAGATCAATCCCCAATCATTCCAAAATATGGTGACACTGAAACACAATTCAATGAGAAACCACCATGGATATCCGTCCGTGGTTTCAGACTTCTCAGCGAATCATTTCCAGAAGCGGATCCCTCAGAGATGTATCATTTTCCATTATTCGGGCCTTGTCTTTGTTCATTGAGACCAGATCATACAGGTTGGTCGTATGTTCAATTGAAAATGGAAGCTACTTTGAACATGGTAGAGTATCTGGCAATATCTTGTGCTCAAACCGCCAATCAAAGGGGATGGGTAATGATGACTCGATGTAAGGAAGATACTTGTCTTATTTGGTCGGATGGAAAGGATTTTTGTCCGGATCATGATATCAGTACAAGCAGTACAGTAGTCGGATCTTGATGGAGGGGAGTGAGAATGTTATGTAGTTGGTTGTACTTCACATACAGTATATACATGTATGATATGTAATACTGAAAAAGTAAATAGGGCCACATGTTGGCTGATGCATTTTTTTTGAATTCTGACAGAAGTATTACAAGTTTACAAGATGATGGATGTAAGCAGCTGGATTTTCAGATCAAGGCAGAACTCGAACGTACAGTATGGAAGGATAACATTGGTTTTTGTCTGGGGTTTTTCAGCTAGTATGTTCTAATTTTATGAGAAGGTAAGATGAGCTTTAGATGAATCAACCCAAAAAGATGCAACAGAATATCAATTATACAGAAAATGACATTGCTTCAAGTATTCAGAGAGAGGATACAGTCGGTATTGGAAATAGATTGGTGGTCTTCCTTTTTCTTTTGGAAGGGCTCATCTAGTTTCTGTCAACTTTGTATATTGATCCATGCTGAGTGTATCTGATGCGAAAATGATATAAACATGGACTCATTTCTGATAGAGGGATCTCTATAGCCGAATGAATCCCTTGCCCGTGGAAGAGGAAAAAGTACAGTATGATCAAATTGAGATTTTCCTGCCAATCGTCCAACCATCATCTTTGTGATCTTCCACTAGCTGTTCCATGACTTGGTACAGTATCCACTTCCTTCCGGATCTTGCCAGCGTGGTTTGTTGTTTTTAATCGCTCCGAGTACTTGCAGTCCCAACTCAACCACTCAAAATATGGTCTGACCATGGGAAGGTCAAAATCCATGTGCACCGCTTTCTCGTCATCTCCACCTCCGCAAGAACGATTCGTCTATGTCATTTCACCGGCCTACGGTGTTTGTGTCTTGAGAGGAGTTTGTATGTGCACAGCTTCTATTCTGATGATGTAAATATGACGATCCTTTATGACGACTCGTGTCACGAACTACGTCGTGACACCTCGATTACTCCACCAACAATGACCCTCCTTTGGCCATCAAAACCCCATCACGCCTTAACCTCTTTACTCTACACGTAACTCAGGACTTCTGACACCAAGTACGGCGAAGTTAGACGGAGTTAGGCTAAGTAGGGACAATGGGAGCAGAAGTACGGCGAAGTTAGACGGGGTTAGGCTAAGTAGGGACAATGGGAGCAGAAGTGCGGCGATGTTAGGCGGGGTTAGGCTAAGTAGGGACAATGGGAGCAGAAGTGCGGCGATGTTAGGCGGAGTTAGGCTAAGTAGGGACAATGGGAGCAGAAGTGCGGCGATGTTAGGCGGAGTTAGTCGAAGGAGGAAGAGGATGGCCGAGGGCTCGGGGAAGTTGGACGAAGTGCGTTGAAGTACGTCAAAGCGCGAGAGGGTTGGATGAACGTCTAGGAGGAGTAGATAATATTAGCTGAGAAGATCGCTGAAGTTCTTCAGCGATCCTTGATTGTTGTCAGTAGTGAAAGACATAGAGATAGCTATATACAATCGAGATACATCGCCATCAGTAGAACAAAACCTCAGTTAGAGTAACTACGCCGAAGTACGCCGTAGTTACACTCCTTTCGACGTCTGCGCCCTCCTGGTTGGGTGAGACATCGACTTAGAAGCGTCAAGTTAGCCGAGGTTCGTCGACCGTCGGTCTACTAGAAGATAGTTGTTCGACAGCCGTGACAACTCGGCCTCTTCGAAGGGAAAGGATATTCGTACACGGCCCCTTTCTCCAGATTTGGAGATCCGCCAACATTCTCACCATCTCCTTTCATGTCTGTCCCTTGATATGTAGAGCCTTGATGGCTGTTCTTCCCATAATATAGTTGAAAAAAATTATTCAGTGTCATGAATAGTGATAAGGAATTCTGACTCATGCTCAGAATAGTGATAAGGAAATATGACTCATGCTAGGAACTGTGATAAGGATTGAAGGAAAATGTGACTCATGGTATTTAGCAGTTCAGCAGTGAGGCATTTACGTGATTGGCTGAAGCCTGGAAGGTTCAGCAGTTTAGCAGTGAGGCATTTATGTGATTGGCTGGAATTAGTTTCCCGCGGTGCACTCACTTTGAGGCATTTACGTGATTGGCTAGAAAATCCCTCACACGCTTTTTATTTAGTACACCTACTTTAGTTTTGAAGGGTATAAAAGGAGCACATCTCCCCCCTCTTTCTTCAGCAATGTATCTTCATCTTGAAGTTGAACTTCATCTTTGAAAGTCACCTAGTTGGTTCTAACCCAACACCTCAGTACCCTCAGTACCTAAGGCAGTCATCAAGCTCTACGAGCCAGAGACTAAAACCCTTCAGTACCCAAGGCAGTACTTTGCAACCGCAGTCTACCCGCAGGCGTGACATTCAGAGAGGGATATAAGGGGTATTCTTTCCTCCCCCTGCCCTCGTCATTTCAACTTTCCGCTTACACAAAATGACTAAATCAATCGAGACTTCCTTCACATTTACTGATATTCCTGATCACCCACTTGAAGACTCGTCACGTAACAGTGTGGACTCGTTAAAGGCTCAGCCGAAAACTGACGGAATGACTGGTGCTGCAACATTGTCTGGACCGGAGGAAACTCAAGAGAACCAAGAAGTGATCCGCATTCACATCTCGAACTTGGAACCCGGACCCCTTCTTCTTGAGTTCGAAGATGATAAATATGATGACAAGACCGGTTATTTTACTGTCCGACTAGAGCGCACTGGGCAGGGTGAAGGGACCGGGACACAGACTTTGTACGTGACTGAAGCCTGCCAACATCCTTTTTTCACCATTCTAGGAGGAGGTTGGGATAGTGTGGCAAAGCCAGGTGAAGTAGTCCCATCTGTTTGTCCCATCAAAGGTTGCAGTAAATATCCCGGTTTGGTAGAGACCATAAATGGTGTCGACCATCGAACATGTCTTCAACACGCCAGTGGGCCAGACACGATATCAACACAGTGGCCTACGAAGGTCGAAATGAAGCGGTACTTCAAAGGACAGGCGGAACTAAGCACTTTTTGTAATGATGGGTTTGAGATTGATAGTTTCTAGGACAGTATGTATAGTCTACAGGCCAGAATGAAAGGTGGCAACTCATTATTGCGTTTTGTTAGGGACCCCGCCGGAGATGGACTCCTCCAGAGTCACATGGCTTTGAAGACCCCCTCTTAGACCCATCCAGAGAATCATGCCACTCTGGAGGTGTCCGGACCCAGCCAGAGTTAGAAATTGGTTGTCTTGTTTTCCTAGTGAGTAAACCTAGTAGAACATTCTTGTCCTTGTCAGTCTACCTCAACTAAGTCTAAAGGTTGTGTAAGCAGGATATCATTGCCTTAGTCACTCCAAATTCCTTTGATCATCACTTAAAATTGGTCCATGAGTTCTGACACTATGGAGGCGCAAAAATCAGCTTGGTTGAGTCAAGATTGAGGTATGAAACCTGTTAGGGACACGACTGGAGACGGACCCTCCGGAGCTCACGGACCTCATCAGACCCAACAGGTGACGTTCCACTCCAGAGTGGTCCGAGTCCCCTGACAGACCCAGCTGGAGAGCCATCAGCATATGAGATGGGGAGAAACAAATGGCTACACAGCAGATGTGTACATATGATCCAGACTCCCGTACATGTGAGCCGTGATTCTCCATGATTTTGACTTCCACTTTGACACTCTTAAGACTTGATCTCAACAATAATGCTCCATGCCTCTTGGGCCAATGTCTTGTGTGTCACAAAGGATGTGACAAGCCGGGCAAAAGTCGGGGAAGGGTATCTAACCAGCAATCAGCGGTAGAGTTAACCGCCAATTACTAGGCCTTTTGTCACAAATGTTGGTTCTTCTTCCTCACTGACCGACGGGCAACAAACCTCGGCTAACTATGTTGTACCGGGGCGTTGAAGTCTCACTGAGACAGGGTACTCGTGTCACGAACTACGTCGTGACACCTCAGATTCCACCAGCAATGACCCTCCTTTGACCATCAAAACCCCTATCACGTCTTAACCTTGTCACCCCACACGTAACTTAGGACATCTGAGACCAAGTACGGCGAAGTTAGGCGGAGTTAGGAGAACTAGGGACAATGGGAGCAGAAGTGCGGCGAGGTTAGGCGGAGTTAGGTGAACTAGGGACAATGGGAGCAGAAGTGCGGCGATGTTAGGCGGAGTTAGGTGAACTAGGGACAATGGGAGCAGAAGTTTGGCGATGTTGGGCGGAGTTAGTCGAAGGACGGGGAAGGACGGCCAAGACTCGGGGAAGTTGGACGAAGTGCGTTGAAGTACGTCTAAGCGCGAGAGGGTTGGGTGAAGATCTAGGGGGAGTAAAGAATATTAGCTAAGAAGTGTCACGAGCGTCGAACAACTATCTTCTGGCAGACCGACGGTCGACGAACCTCGGCTAACTTGATGCTCCTGAGTCGAAGTCTCACCCAACCAAGAGGGCGCAGACGTCGAAAGGAGTGTAAACTACTGCGTACTTCGGCGTAGTTACTCTACTCTAACTAAGGCTTTGTTCTGGCGATGTATCTCGAATTGTATATAGCTATCTCTATCTGTTTTTCACTACTGACAACAATCAAGGATCGCTGAAGAACTTCAGCGATCTTCTCAGCTAATATTATCTACTCCTCCTAGACGTTCATCCAACCCTCTCGCGCTTTGACGTACTTCAACGCACTTCGTCCAACTTCCCCGAGCCCTCGGCCATCCTCTTCCTCCTTCGACTAACTCCGCCTAACATCGCCGCACTTCTGCTCCCATTGTCCCTACTTAGCCTAACTCCGTCTAACTTCGCCGTACTTCTGTTCCCATTGTCCCTACTTAGACTAACTCCGCCTAACATCGCCGCACTTCTGCTCCCATTGTCCCTACTTAGCCTAACTCCGTCTAACCTCGCCGTACTTCTGCTCCCATTGTTCCTACTTAGCCTAACTCCGTCTAACTTCGCCGTACTTGGTGTCAGAAGTCCTGAGTTACGTGTAGAGTAAAGAGGTTAAGGCGTGATGGGGTTTTGATGGCCAAAGGAGGGTCATTGTTGGTGGAGTAATCGAGGTGTCGCGACGTAGTTCGTGACAGTCGCCCCCTTCTTTAGCCGCGAACGTCCTCGTGAGCGATTACACCTCTGTCGTGTCAAGAGAACTTAGCAGCGTAGTACCCCCATTCTCTCCCTCCCCATGACCATCCTTCACCCTTCTGCTCTTTGCGCCGCACTTCGTAGTTGGGCCTCCTTTCACTCCACAACCCGACAATGAGACTCCCCTAACTTCGTCGAGGTTTGCCGTAAGAAGCCCTGTGTCTTTTGTAGGTGAGACACGCTTCCTGAATGGCAGCCGAACAACACCGTTGTTTGTCGAAGTAACCCTCGCTTATATTGAGATGAGACACTATAGCGTGGGAATTTTGATCGTCCCTGCGATGCCTTTTGTTGATGAAACGCGAAGTTTGCTGCATGTTGACGACGAGGGGTTAGGTTTGATTATACTAAATACTGAGCAGTTCGTCGAGCTTCTCTCTTTTTCCCATCTGCTTTCAAAACTTTCTATCTCTCTTACCTAGAAAACAGATTTGTTACCTTGAATCATCGCCTCAAGTTTTATTCTCTTTTAAATATCTTAACGTCATGGCCCCTTCTACTCCTACACCCAGCCCTTTCGCCGCCATGAGGAACTTTGGTGGTATGGTGTCATCTGCTCGTGAGTTTTCATCGATACTCACCCTACCTCGCCGAACTTGGCTGATGTTCAGTTTCTTTCGGCGACAGGTCTCGCCAAGTCTCCTCCCTCGGCCTCGGCACTCTCTCTCTGGGGGAGCCGTCTGGCGCTCCCGCGCCCCCTCGCTCCGCCTCTCCCTCCGCTGGTTCTCCCTCCCCCGCGTCTGGTTCTCCCGTCCCCGTAACGGGTTCTCCTGGAGGGCCTCCTCCTGCCGCCACTCCTCGCCGTAGGACGCCCGCCTTTCGTCCTGGTGAGTCTCCGTCCTCCTCCGACCAGGACTCGCTCAGTGGGGGCTCGGAGTCGAGTGATCGACCCGACACCGAAGAAAGTGAGGATGATGATGATGGGGAGGGTAGGATCGATAGTGAGGGTGAAAGCGAGTTAGAAGAATACCCGGATGATGATGTGGAGGTGATTAGTGTAGAGGACAACAACGTAGATAGTCCTGAGCGTGAGTTCTTCGTCCAACCTCTCACACCTTCGCCGAACTTGGCCCTGTTTATCTGTTCTTTAGCTCTCCAAGACATCGCTAACTCGCAGCCGGTCCTGCCCCTCCCCCTGCTCAAATTGTGGGCCAGAAACGACGCCGTTCCCTCTCCTCTTCTTCTTCTTCCTCTTCTTCTTCTTCCTCTTCCTCTTCCTCTTCCGGGGTTCTCCCCCCCACCAACGCCATCGCCGCTGCCGCCGCCGCTGCCGCCGCCCCCGTCGCTGCTCCCCCCCCTTCTCCCAGAGGGGAGCCTTCGCCCAAACGGGTGAAGAGATCACTGCGGGAAGAAGAGTACTTGTGGGAGAAGATGAAGTCCGAGCCTGGTCGTTGGATCGCGGTTGGTGTTGACGAAGCGTGTGATCGTTGCCGGTGAGTCCACCTAATCGTACTTACGCCGAAGTTACTCCTGCTAATAGTAGACGTGAGATTATCACGTATAATCGTCCAAACTGGCCCTGGCCTCAAGGGAGTCAGGCCACACAACAAGGCCCTCCGTTGTGCTTTCATGCACGTCTGGGCCCCTGCTCCTTCTGTCCCGTTTCCTCTGCCCGGGACATT